TAAACTAGACTAAACTAATTATATAATTATCTTATTAATTTTATTTTAAATTTACTTAACTAGCTAAAGTACTCAAATGCAATTTGCTGCAATAATTAATTTTTTTCTAAAAGAGTAGTTTATTTAAACAAAATCATACTCTAATTATTAATAAAAAGTTATTATGTATTTGTATTAAAATTATCTAATTGTTTTTAAAATTTAACTAACTTTTTTTTATCTTTTTCTTTATTTAATTTTTTTAATTCTTTTTTTATTCCAGTTTAGCAGCCAAATTTGAATGCTAAAATTTTAAAAATTCATATCTGATCTACTTTTTTTAAAAATTAATAAATTTTTTTTTAAATAAAAACTATAAATATATATTATTTAAAATTATTTTAATCTTTCTAATTCTTATAAAAAATTTTAAGTTACTTATGAAATAAAATTTTATAATTTTTTAAAAAATTTTAATTTTTAAAATTTTTTTTATTTTTTGTTATTTTACTTAGTATAAGCTTAAGATTAGACTCTCTATTACCTTAATAAAAAGTTGTAAAACATAAAAAAATTAACAACTTTTGTTATTATATTTTTTATAATTTTATAAGCAAAATTTTGATTTTAATTAGAAGCAAAGACAAATTTTCTCTTTGAAAACATATAAAATTTTAAGTGAGTTTAAAAAATTTTAATAGTAAATTTAAAAAATTAAATTTAGAAAAAATTAAATATCTTTGTTAAAATTAAAAATAAAGTAATAAAATTTTAAAATAATATTTAAAAAGGTGAGTACTTTAATTTTTGTTAGTAAATAGAGAGAGTTAAGTTTAGAAAGTTTTTATGTAATTAAATAAAAATAAGATAAAAAGTATTTTATCATTCAAATTTAAATACTAGACAGTTTAAAAGATAACTTAAACAATTTTATTTAACAACTTTATTAAAAAATACTTAAATAAAAGCTAAAACTAATCTAATATAAAAATACTAATTTAATCTTTTTATTAACTTTATTAGACTAATTCAGTTGTCTTAAGAGTACTTAAGTTTGATCTGCTATAGAAGTTTATTTTTTTATAAAAATCTTAATTTGTATATAAGATGAAGTCAATAAAAAAGGAACAAATTTTTTTTAAGTAAATATTTTTTTAAGTTTAGAATAAAATATTTTAACAATTACTAAAGCAAATCCTATAAAAATTTTTTATTTTAATTTTAATAAGTTATAGATTTAAAATAAAAAAATTTTATTAAATTTGATAAGATTATTATTAAGATATTTTAATTTAAAAATAAAAAAAATTTCACTAAAAATAATTTGTCTCTTTTCTATTAACTTTACACCATATGCTAATTTTTTAAAATTTGATCAATAAAGATAATTTCTAGTTTATATATATATATATATATTTCAACAAGCTATCTACAGATTTTTATTAAGTATTATTTTTCAAGTTATATTTGTTAGTAAGAGTACAATTAGCTATATGTATAACTTTAGTCATTATTTATTTAAAGGTTTTGCTATATAAGTTATCTACTGATTGCTATATCTAGTATCTGCTTATAGATACTCTCTTTAAACTCTCTAATATTACTGTAAAACTTTATATTTAATCTAATATTTATAATTTATACTAATCCTATATTGTCTTATTTAAGGACTACTCAGACCAACTTGTATCTCAAATTGTCTTCATAGAACAAAGCCCTATTACAAGATACTCTATAAGTTCTATTCTAATAAGAGCTTACAGATAACCTTAACTATGCTATACTATATCTCAATTAAGCTAGTATATATTTATATTGATATTCATACAAATCTAGTTCCTTTTATAACTCTCTACTAGATTAGTTCTTCGTATTTTTGAATATTTCACAAAATAGATTCTTCTAATCTAGTTAGTTATCAAGTTAATTAGTGTTATTATTTGTATAATAAACTTACTTGCATCTACTCAATATGTATTCTTTATACAAACTTCTTTTTCAGATAAAGTATTAACTAGTATAACTATTGAAATCTGTATTACATAAGGTTTGGCGATCTTAGTGTAGTGGTTAGATTGCCAGACTACTATGCAAGAGGTTTGGGGTTCAAATCCCACTGTCGACGAATTTGAATAATTACTTGGACCTTTGTATTCAACTTATAGTAAACTCTGTTTGTTTCTGGGGTTGTAACCCTGTAAGTTAAGTTGCACTAAGTCAATCGGATATTGGTAGTGCAGTAGCAGTTAATTACAGGATAATATGTACATACGAATAAATTTTGATAGAAAAAAATATTAGTGTAGCAGTAGTTAATCACAGGATGATATACGCACACAAATAATATATGAGCAGGGGACCTGCATGGTAGAAATCCTGAGTTGGTGAAGTAGTATGTCTTTAACGGTCACACCAGCTAACGCTTGATCCAGTGATGTTCACTGGAACATTCCAGTGGGAATTACTAAAACTGGAAGGTCACTGGACTTAATTGGATGAAATTGGAACCAAATTTGCTTCCAGTGATCAGATGTCCACTGGAACGTTCCAGTGAAGGTTTTTAGTCACTGGACGGAAGTTCTAGTGATGTCCAGTGACTTCCAGTTGCTTCAAGTTAAAAATTTTAAAATAAAATATGTATAGTTTAATTTATATGTAATGTATGTACGTATGTACGTACATACATATACGGTATTACAAAAAACTTAATTTTTCGTAATTGAAGTATCCCTCTTAAAATCAATTATAATAACATTTACTCCACATGATTGTACATTTATGTCCATTGTTCATACGAAAAACAAACACGCGAAGCTTAAAGATTTTGTGCTACAAATCAGTATATAACTATCTAATTGCTAATTACTACTCGTATTATATTCAATTGGATAATTAGCATTCATCGTATAAGCGAGACTTAATAATTTGAAATTATAACATTTTATTTAAAATAAAATTATAATTTAAACTCGTCTATTGTTTTTTTGGAAGGACATTAGCAGTTTTGTCTGACCCAACTTGGCATTGAAAGTCATCGATCATAAGTAAATTCAAAGATTTAACTCATACAAAACAAATATGTGGGAATGTTAAAAGTTTCGGTCTAAACTAGTCTTAAAAAATCATGACCCAAAACACTTAAGAACAAGTTCATGATCTGATATAAAATCAAAGAATTCAATAAGATCAGGCTAGTTCTTAATTATGCGCCGTTTACTTTAGTGATTCAAGAATACATCTCAAAATAGTCCTATCGGCATTGGAATAATCATTGAGACACATAATTTTATGAATCCTATAAATTCTGTATATTGCTATTGTGAAGACAATAGTAATATACAGGATTCATAGAATTCACGAAGTTCTATAATCATACTAATTCAAAGCAATGATTATTCATGCGACCCTTAATATTCAACTCTTAAATAACTGAGCCAAACTCAATACGTCCATGTTGAGTAGACTTAAAGGACTGAACCTCACTTTTTCGTACATCCAATTCTCGGCTTTTTCTAAAGCTATTTTAGTCTGCTTAGAATTAGAACCTTTCAATTTATACAAAAGGAAACGATAGTTCAAAAGGTACTTATCTGTAAACCTATAATCTGAAATTTGAGCAAAAAATTATATCACGGTAGCTCAGAATTTGAATGGCAACTATAATATTTTAATTTTGAAATGCAAATAATGTCTCATACATGTATAAGACGGTTAAACAGGACAGAATCAAAAAAATAAGCACATGCGAATTATTGATACTATAATGCAATGAAACGCCTACCTTTAGATTAAAATTATAATAATTATAATCTTTAAAGAAAAATTTTTTTTCAATAGGTGTATATTCTTGTCTCATGTAGCTAGTTTAAGATCCAGTTAAGAATTGGCTTTTTTTTTTATGATTAAAATTTTGCAGGTTCCTGACATAGGCATTGTATTACCGTACAGTGCGGACTATAGTGCCCTGGATACAATACATTCTACAAGCAAGATTCAAGTTAGTACCCGGGTATTATACTTGGCAATTTTTCTCATATAAAAAATTTACCATTAATAAAAGTCAATTGATATAGTATAGGTGTCTCCTATATTATATTCAGGCATTTTACATTCCACCATATAAATTTTTTGAGGGGTACTTTGATATGGGAGGGTACTATGGTCCGTGCTGTACAGTATATTTTAAGAGTACCTTTTTTAGCACTTGCATGAATAATAACGCAATTTTAGCAATAATGTCTCTGATTTAAGATAGTGGGTTCCAGAGGAATGTTCTTTTCTTCAATCCTTTAAATTGAAAATATGTAAGAATGTAAACGCAAAAAAAATAAAAATATATCATAATATACCCTTCTACGTTAAGTCCCACTTATTATTAAGAGGTAATAGCATTCAACTTACTGAATCAAATCAGCAGCTGAAGCTCAATACGCATAAATTATTTATTATTCTTCAACTCAGTCTCGATCATCAGTGATGCGTTGCTGTAAAAAATGTTGAATTATGATAATTTAAGATTGATTGATAGCAATTTAGAAGTTCCTATCATGAATCTTAAATCAATAGTATTGTTTCTTCGTTTGTAATACCTGGCAAACATGATGGCATGTGAAAAATACAGACGAAGAGATAATGTTTAAAGCAGTGTTGGTATTTGAATTAATTAAAGATGATATAAACAATATATAGTCATAGAATTTTTAATTTGAAATGTAACATTTGAACTATGTTCAAATCTGTTCAAATCTATTCAAATCTATTCAAAATGAGTGTCGCCAAGGGAAAACCTGCAAATCTTATTAGATAAGATTTGCAGGTTTTCTCTTGACGACACTCAAATATGAACATAGTCCAAATGCCAACACTACTTTAAGATGTTTTGAATTTTAAGCAATAAAGTATATAAGAGTGTAGCTTCCAAAAAAAATTTCTTTTAAAGAAACTTTGCTCTATTCTATTTCTTCACTTATAATAAAACTTATATGATGGCATTGATTTTGAAATTCTAAGATTGTGCTAAAATGTCTCGACATCATCTGGGTGGTTCTGAAAGGCATAGGTTCACAAATGATATTATTGTACTTGGTACAAAGCCTACAAATAAGTATAATACTTATTGTGTATGTAAGGCTTGTGACGAAATACTTGGTCAGGAGGAAACTTTAAAAAATCCAATTACCAATAAAAAAAATATTGTTAGAAATCATCTTAAAAACTGTAAACATTTTCGTGCGAAGAAAGGATCAGAAGAAGCAGTAAAAATATATTGTAATAAAACAGATGATGAAGAGCAGACTTTACAAACTTCAAGAAAACACCAAAACGCCGATACATCAGGTAATTAGTAAATACAAAAACCTTTCTAAATGCGTCCTCCCTAAACATACTACCTTCATGGATAACTTTCAACTCTTGGCCTATATATCTACTTAACCTCCATAAACGCATTATCTCTATAAATGGTATTTTTGCTATGAAATGACCCTCCAAGACTATGTTGATTTTGCGAATAAAAATTAAATTTGCCAGCCATTTAGTTATCAATTTGAATATTCTTTTTTTTTTAATTTGTAGAGCTTATTTAGCTCCACAAAATAAAAAAAGAACATCCAAATTGGGTAACTAAATGGTTGGCAAACTTAATTTTTATTTACTAAATCAATATAGCCTTAGAGGGTAATCTTCATAGCAAAAATTCCAAATACGCATTACAGAGAATTTAGTCTAAACAGGATATGTAAATAATATTAAATTTTTTTTTTTGAGTAGATGATATGAATGACGAAACTCCTAGCATTTCTTCAACACCTTCAACACCTAAAAAGCAAAGAAAAAAACCATTAAATTCTAATACTATGTCCAATTTCATTGTCAAAGATGTTTCTGTTAAAGACAAACCTAAATTTAAAAGATTGTTACTTCGAATGACAATTTCAAATGGATGGGCTTTTAAATAGACAACAAATCAAGCAACTCAGGAGTTTTTTGAGTTCTTAAACCCAGCACTTACCCTTCCTGCTAGACATGCTTTATCAAATCGTATTCTTGATGCCGAAAGAAATAACTTCATAAAATCACGTGAACAAAAGTTAAGAGAAGATGTTGTCAGAGTTACCTTAGCATTTGATGGGTAGAAAAATATTTTGAAACAAAATATTTTTGGTTCATTATTTATTTTATCAACTGGAGAAGTTCAAGTTTGGGAAGCAATTGATATTAGTTCAGAGCGAGAGCAGATGATCGATGTTATCCCTAAAATTAAGAAAATGACCAATGATGCTTTGAATATAGGGACAAAACTACTGGCAATAGTTTCTGATAGTGCACCAGCATATTCTGCTGCTAGGTAAAAATCAAATATATAAGTTAACTAATTACTTTTTATAGACCGACCAGATCAATTATCAAAAAAAAATTAAAAATAATATTTTTTTTTAAATATAAAATTGTCGGTGCCTATGCCTAAATCAAATTGAGTACTATAGCTAAAACCTGCAATTGTTGATTTTCAAAAATTTTATTCTCAGAAACGGGTTTATAAGAAATATTATAAAATATTATAAGAATCTTATAAGTCGGTTTCTGAAAGTAAAATTTCTGAAAATCAAGAATTGCAAGTTTTAGCTGTGCGGTACTCATTAAAAATAATTAATTTTGTGCCCAAATACTTATCCCAATTATTTTAAATAGACATAGACTACGATTGCAATATCCAGAAATCATTTTTATCCCTTGCTTTGCTCATCAATATAATCTTGCCATGGGTGAAATATTTAAAGAATCTGACGAATTTAAAACTGCAATGAAACAAGCAATACAAATAGTTGGCTATTTTAATAACAGGATCCATTCATATTTTATTGGAAAACTTCGAGACTTACAAAAGCAAACGTATTCAAAATATATTGCTTTAATTTGTCCAGGCAATACTCGTTGGAATTCTTATTTTTATTGTTTTAAAAGCCTAATAAAATCCTAGCAAGCTTTAAGAGTTAGTACTTAAAATACTATATTTACCGAAAATAACATCACGAGATAGCATGTAATTTGAAATGTGCCAAAAATTAATTTAGCCGAAGATTTTTAAAATAAAACTATAATTTATATTCGGCTAAATTAATTATTAGCACATTTCAAATTACATGCCATCCCGAGATGTTATTTTGGGTAACTATAGTATATTGTTTAAGTAAATATGTATTTAGCCAAAAAATAAATAAAATTTTAAACTTTTTAGAATTTAGCTACTACATTTGAATCACCTTTAACCTATAATTCTAACAATGAAGAATCAAATAGTTCAGATGAACTTTACCTTCCGCAAAATATTACATCGATTCTTCTTAATGACAACTTCTAGCAATCGATAACTCAGCTAAGTTCTTTGCTTCTTCCTTATTGTGGTGCTCTCAACAGTTTACAATCAGATACTGCTCGTCTTTATAATGTGCTACAGGCTTTTGGCAGAATATTAAGAATATGGCAAGAATACTCAGATCATAGTTTGGCACAATGTATGATTCAGTGGCTAGAGCAAAGATGGAAGCAATGGGAACAACCTTTATTATTATTGGCTTTTCTTTTAAATTCAAATATTTATATTTCCTGGTTTAATGCTAATAATGAAAATTTAAACTTTACATACCTTGCTCAATTTGTCACCTATTATTACAAAGCATGGTTTGGACATCAGCCAATCTGTATTTTACTTGAACTAGAAGACTATAGAAAACGGAAATATCCCTTTGATTCTGCAACATATGAACAATTTGGAAAGAATATATTAGGATTCTGGGAATTTGCTTCTTCTTCTTCAAAAGAATTAGGCCCATTGGCACTGCATTTATTTGGAATCTGTGTTAATGCCGCATCTGTGGAATGTTTATGGAGTTCAATAGGTTTTATACATACCAACTGTCGAAATCGTCTTACAGTAAGAATTTTTTTTTTACTGGTGAAAATTAAAAATTCCTTATCATATGATTTCACAGACATGCATGAGAAAAGTCTCTGAACACCTACGTACCAATTCAGGTAATTTTTGTACCTACGTACCTATTTAGAATAAGCAGGTTTTAAATTTATAATAGGTACATACCAAAATTACCTGAATTGGTTAGTACTGGTAGGTGTTGAAAGACTTCCTCATGCATGTCCGTGAAATCATGTGACATATTGAATGGTAGGTTGAATGGCAAATTGAGTGGCATTCGAATCATACCATTCAAACATATCGAAATTTTAATTTTGCCAATGTTTTTTGTATATTTTTTGTTAAAAAAATTTTTTTTCTTTTAATATAGAATGAAAAAGTATTAGCTATGTGTCAAATTCGTGCCTCAATTAACTTTTCCCAGCGCAAACAACAAGTCCATACCTATAATACTATGTATAGCCAATCCAGCGCACCACCAATTGGTGAAGCTATACCAAATGAGTTTGAAGCAGATTTGGATGAAGAACACAATGAGCTGTATGATATAGAACCATCAAACCTTGAGAATTGGGAAAATCAATTACGTGATTGGGAACAAATGCTAACAGATGAAGAGACTGCCAGATTAGAAGATGAAGAGGAAGAACGTGATAATTATTATGACAGTATGGAAAGTGATTTGTTGAGCGATTATACACACTCGGCGGTAGACGACAAAGCAAAATGGAACTTGGAGAGTTTATTTAGTGTGTTATTTCAAAAGCCAAACTATATGAATAACAATAATTAGTTCATATATGATTTGATAAATTACATTTTAAATACAGCACCTTTCATTTTTTTCTTTATGTACGATTTTATCTCATCTTTGTTTTAAAATATGATGTATGATAATAAAGACAATCTTTAATATCTATAAAAATTTAACCATTATCGTTATTTTAATTAAATAATAAACTACAAAATTCCGTAAATAACAAGACAAGAATACTTAGGTAAATCGCAGTTAAAGGGCATAAAGTCATCAGAAGCTAATGTAGGTTTTCTATAGAGTTGGAATGCAGTCAGCTTACAATGAAAAGTTTTTTTAGCTAAGCAAGCCTCACTTGAGTTTCTAACAAATGTTAAAGAGCTAGTAGATCACGGGATACATATCGACAGAAACTTTCAGCATTCCAACATTATAGTAATTCTCTGCTGATTTTTTTATGAAATTTATACCTTTCAACTGCGATTTACTACTCAATTATTTTTTATTCGAAACCCGAACTAGACTAATGTCTTTAATTTGACTCATATCCTCAATAGTCACGTTACAGTTAGTTTCATTAGTATTGAAAGAGATTAATATAGAATTTAGTAAATTAAAAGGCGTTTCAAGAATATATGCCAAATCAAACAAATAAATTGTAGTAGCATCATACCTTAATAGTAATATATAAAATAATTAGCATTTGACTTCACAAAGCCTGTGATTCAAAGCAAACTCCAATGTTAGTATATATGTATTTTTTTAAAACAATAAATTAGAAAGTAGATCTGAAATAAACAAATATGTATTTTGGAAATTTCTACACGGATTTATTCTCTGCAACAAATGTAATATAAACGCTTATGTTCAAGTGAACCAGTTCAAACGTATAGATCTATGTAAAACACCTTTTAGTATAAGGCCGTATCGTGTTCAGGATTTAGAGATTAAAATATTACTACGATAATATGATCGATGAAAACAACTAAGTATATATATAAGCAGGGTTGCTTTCGATATTATAAATTTCGATCTTGTGGCTTTTTTTTTTTGATGTTCTACCAACAAGTACGTGAAAATATGCATATTTTTATTGGCTAATGTTATTACTATTCATGCATTTTGATTGGACGATATTACAGGTTCCAGTGAGAAAATTCTTCCTGTAGGAATTTTTTACTGGAACCACTGTAACTCTGGAATAATTTGGATGTCTAGTGGGGTTCCAGTGGTCCAGTTAATATCACTGGATATAAGTATATATTTATATATAAATATAAGTATAAGGTCTGGTAATCTTAGTGTAGTGGTTAGGTTACCAGACTGCTATGCAAGATGTCTGGAGTTCAAATCCTACTGTCGACGAATTTGAATAATTTCCCAGACTTCTCTACCCAACTTACAGCAAACTCTGTTCGTTTTTGAGGTTGTAACCTTGTAAATTATGTTGCACTAATGTTATCTAGATATTGGAAGTACAATGTGATACTTGAGGAATGTAATATTGTACAAATAAATCTTGATAGGATCTATAAACAGGGAACCTGCATAGTAGAAATCCTGAGTTAGATGAAGTAGTATGCATTTCAATAGTCAATCTGGTTAACACTTGATCTGGTAGAAAAGTTTGTATATGTATATTGTAGATCGAACAGGTACAAGTAAATCTGTTTGACATGCAAAAAGGCCAGCAGTACTACTCTGGCTTGGTGGTTAACTAGATTTGAAAGGATCTGTTTTATAAAATATCTTGGAAACCTCAAAGGACTAAACTAGTGAAGAGCTACAGAAGGAACTGAGTTTGTATGAACATCAACAAGGGTCTAAGCTAGGTGGAATCCATAAAATAGGTATAGAACACTCTAGTAGATTTGCTTATGAGGTTAACTGGCTCTGCAGATACTCACAATATGTTGAGTATAATGTACCCCAAGAGAATCTAAGCTGTTCAATAGAATGATCTGTAATGAGCTAGCTAGCTTAAGCAGTTAGGTGTTGCAGTGATATTAGTTTGGAATTGTATATGATACTATTACGAGCAGTTCTTTATTAATCTGCAAATTTTTAGGTAGCAGAAGGTTTTTCACAGTTATTATTCAAGGCACCAGT